CGCAATATTATTAGAGTATTCCGAAGTATAAGAATAGTGATACAGATCTCAATGAATGGTCGAAAACTAGGTGCAAAAACGTGCATGGACGAAGCTAAGACTGTAAATGTTTTAGGGGGTGTTCTAACGGTCAAACATAGCAAGAGTACATTTTGCGCCCTTTCTAAATACAATTTTGCGATAATGTTCTTTAGGAATAATGCTTTAAATTTAATACACTTAATATATTATGTAAATAAATCAATGGTGACCATTAAAGAACTGTCCCCCTCTTAGCGTTGCCCATCAAATAGCAAATCTCCCAATGGCGTGGTGTGGAACGACCCAAAGCGTTCGTACCGTCGCGGTCTAAACAACCGTCATACCGCGGGGGCGTTACAGAACGAGAGTGCAAGAGAATAACGCAGTAAATACATCAACATACATAGATAGTAAACTTGTTTATACACACAACATGGTATACATGTGTTGAGACACTTACGCGTCCTGTATCGCACCCGCGGACGCAACAAGCGAGCCAAAACCGACCGTCCGAACAGAGGGAGGAACAGGGAAAACAACATAGGGTGGGGAGGGGGGTTGACAAAAAGAAAAAAAAATCATTATTACACTACACTAGTGAGGTCCGTAAGTTGTTGTTGAGGAACGGCGACACACGTAGCGCTATGGCGGCGGCGGGAGTGACGTCACTTGCCCGCGTGTCCGTTCCCCAGTGTTGGCTCGATGACCTGCAATACGAGCGACCTTGTGAGCGCGCAGCCGTGTGTCGTCGTTCCCAATGAGGCTGGAAGGGCCGACGCCGGGCGGGGGTTGTTTTTTTTTTAATCGTTTTCAAATTTGGAATTCGGATTTGGAGCCGCTTTGACCGCTACAGCTTTGGAAAATGAATTGAGAAGAAACAACTCGCAAGCTTCCATGAACCACCGCCGCGCGTTCTCTATTTATTTACATTCGCAGCACGGATTGGGCCCCGTTTGTTATTATCGTGTTCATTAATTAACAAGGGCAAGGAGCGATTTTTTTTTTCTTTAGTCGGCACTCAATCCGAACCGCAAAGTTGACCCACCCACCACCAGTTTTTCAAAGCGAAGTCCCAGCGATTGTAGTGATTGCAACCAATTAAATCTCCCATTCCAAATTCGAATGTTAAGGTTGCCTTTTTTTTTTAAATGAAGTGCGTTTGGAACGGCAGTTTTAGAGCCCCATACGGTCACGATATACACAGCTGCGCGCAAACTATTTAGCTGTTACACACTTTATACACATTACAAAGGGAAATCATAGACACAACATACTTATCTAAAGTTGCTGGTTACAATCTACAAAGAATCTGTTTATATAAAAACAGTATGTTGGATACACGAGTGTTAGAATTCCGTAGCCACGCCATATTGTAATATTTATAAAAGGTTTAATATGCCCTGTGGGTATAAGTGAAGGAAATAGCAAAATATACCTTTAATATAAATGTTAAAATTTCTGAATTAAAAAAAAGAATATTACTAAACAGTTTTGAAATATGTTTAGGTAGGTACTTTGACTTAAATTAGCGATAATATACATCGACCGAAAATTATAATTACGCAAAAGTCCCTTAAAAGTAAAGAATAAATAAAATCGTAATGGTATTGCACTGTAGTATTTTTCAAATAAAAAGACAACGATGGCAGTTCTTTGGAAACCACTGAGAAGTTGGCTACGAAACTCTATATATTTCTCAAAAAAATAACAGCTAAATAATAGCGAATCTATTATGTCTAAGAAATCAATAACATATTTCACAAACCATGTTAAAAAAATGAATGTAAAGCCACATAAACACATGCAGTCGCACATGGCAACACAGGTCTCGACGACACTGAATTGCCGATGCGACGTCATACTGAAATCGGTGTAATGCCGTTTATTATTTCAGAGATATCAATCAACGTATCACACTAAAAGCACTCAAAATTTAATATACAGATTATTGAGCCCGAATTATTATGCTAATGGAAGAAAAAATTCTCAAAATAATTTATAAATTTTATTTTAACAATTCAATTCGTCCGCATTCTTCCTGAAGTGAGTAATCCGTTATTTAAAATAAATACATAAGTCCTATACAAATATTTAATATAAAATGGTAGTGATGTGTCACAAGTTTTATCGTAGTTTCTTTTTTTTCTATTTCGGTCAAACTATCTCAAATAATAAACAGAAAGTTAACATTAATAAAGGTATAAGAAAAAATAATGTAACATACACCTTCTATAATAAACTTGCGTATTGTTTGGTAACATAAAACTAATATGGAAAAAGTTCAATACAGGTTTCAATTTCTCAAAAAAAAAAGAAAACAAAATTATATTGGAAGCTCGGAACTTTTTAAATCAGTAGAAAATTAAAATTTCACATAATACATAATATAATTTAAGAACCAAATGTTATATTAACAATATTTTAATTTTAATACCTTCTAAAAGTTAACAAGACACAAAACATACCTTATATCAATATAATTTTGGAAAAAATTGTACTGAAAAAGCGCAAAAAACAAACCTGCACAAATTGTTCTTTATTTATTCATATTGATTCACCCTACCTTAAAAATAATCTCATTCCTTCCAATGTACAACTTACAAAATTCACAAACAAACAATACGTAACATCAATATAAGAACTATCTTAAGTACTTTCTCCTGTAAATATATCTAAAAATAACTCTTGCCTACTAGCAAATATACTATCAAGTAACATGGTAACAACAATGGCACCACTGTAAAACTATGTATTTCAAAATATATTATTATTTACAGATGCTATACAGATACAAACAAAGCACACAGTTGTTCTGCATACCATTGCACAAAGCTAATGTTTTAGATTTTACAAAGGCATTATCCTTTTATAAGTACTGCAGAGAAGCTGTAGACAATATAACCATAATACTTCGATTATTTTTAACGAGCGATTCGCACTCCGACTAAGGAACACTCTTAACCCTGTAAATATATAAGTATGTTTTTCACTATTTTTGAGCAAGCATTGGACTTAACTATACAAGCCTAGTTACACCACTAGGCTACCATTAGAAATTAAATTAAAGCTGATATGGTAATGAGTTCAGTGATTTGGAATATGAACTTGACATTGAAATTAAAACTGAAATCATCGATTGTGTGAACTGAAGGAATTCCCGTTCAATGGTGTAACTCCGTGTAGATAATAAGTTGTATGAAATTGCACAAGTATTACATTTATAAATATCTAGTAAATTGAGATATTGACATGTAAATAGCCCTTATATATATTTAAATATCCTATATTATATATATATAAACAACATGTAAATAGCAAATAAATACTTTCTATATAAATTGGAATGTCATGATGCACTGTCTAGTGATGTAAACATTTAAGTCTCTTAGTCATTTCAAATCTTAAGCTCATCAGACCTTAAACCTTGCTTTGCAAAACATTTTTAAATGTTAACAAATAACATATTTAAAGTAGCTAACAGTTATTTAAATAAGTCCATATGAAACTATGTTGGACACAATTTGTACAACTATGTAGCAAATGAATGATAGTACAAAGGATTGTTAACACAAAATATCACAAATAAAAAAATTATGCAAGAATCACTAAGGTCAGTCAACTATTAGAATATGTCAGACAATATTCGGTTATTTCACTTTGCTATTTACAGTTAAAGTTTTTGTCTAAGGAAACTTCAATAATCACTTAAAACAAAATGTATAAAGTATGTATGAACTAATTATTTGTGGAATAATCAATAAAATATTTAAGATTAAAAGTTTAAGACACTATACAGAAAGACGGATAGCTCGTAAGAGGTTTGTAAGATTCTTAAAATAAATGTTTGTTATTGAATTTATAGACATCTAATATTGACATGTAACATTAAATGATAAATATTCATTGTATTTGTTTAAATTAGCAAATATATTATTTGGTCCAAGAGAAGAATTTTAATGTTAATAAAAATAGAGTTCCTATTAATCAAGTAACTAAACAGGACTTAAGATCCAAGGAAATAGAAACTTATATAGATATATTTAAAATTTGTACCTTAGAAAGATCATTTAGATGACACAATAGTAAGTGTTAGTTATAGTTATAGTAAATATAAATTTTTACAAATATGATTATATTATATTAAACAAGTGTAAATACATCAAATATTACCCTAATGTAATGTATAAAAAACATCAAATATTCATATATATGATGAGATAAAATTGAATACCATGATAACTGAAAAATATTTTACTAATATAAGCTGTAAATAGTACTTCTTTAAAGATATACACAATATTCCAAATTTAGAAGCAAAATAAATTTTACTTTCTCTACATTTGGTAGAAGGTCCAAAATAAGGTCTTGTAACATCTTGATTTCTTGATTTTATATATGAATTAATGAGAAGAAGTATCTAAATACCAGCTTAATTTTATGATTTACAACTATGGTATAAATTCTAATATTTACACATGTTGAGTAAGATTTTCAGGCCAAAAATATTCAGACTTTCATGTGTAATAATAATTAGTTGTATTTTTAATATTAATCATTTACATATTTCACATGTTGTTGATGTTGGATATTACTCAAGTTGTTACAATGCCCTTATTTGTTACCATAAGTTTGAGTTTCATTAATATTTTATATGATTATTTATATTGTTCTTTTTTTCAGTTGTTTTTTCAATAGCTATGAAGAGCTATTTTTACTGCTGAAATCACTATAAGAGGGTGAGGCACGGATCCAGGGATAATTTTTGTTCTTACTTAGATTGGCAATTATTTGTAGACTAACTTTTTGAAAACTATTAACTTGGCCTCTATAATTATTACCTAAATGAGTTATTCATTTGATGATGAGTAATCGGAGAAAATCGGAAGCTGTCTAGATCCGTGTCTGAAATCTCTCTAGCTATTTCGTTATATATTTTAGTTTGAATGACCTTATCTATGAAAGCACTGAATGAACGGTTATTCCGGCGGCGGTGGGGGGACGGGCGGCGGCGGCATCGCCGGCAAAGGGGGTTGCTGTTGCAGGGGCTGCGGTGGCTGGTGTGGGGGCTGATGCGGCGGTTGGTGATGGGGCTGATGGGGCGGCGGCGGTCCATACATCGCGCCGTAGAAGTACCCGTCCATCCCCATGCCGTAATACAGCGGGGGCGGCGGCTGAACGACATAGTAAGGCAGTGGGGGTCTATAAGGGGGTGGTACGTTCCAATTGCCTACCTTGGGATGCGGAGCTCCGTTCTGGCGCGGCATCTTCTGCGGCGGGCCGAGCTCGGCGCCGCCGGTCCGCTTCCTCGACGTCTCGAGGACCTCTTTTGAGATCTTGATCTTGAGGCCCGAAGGCTGCGGCGGCGGTGGGGGCGCCGCCAAACGCTCCTTCGGTATTTTAATCTTCAGCCCGGGACTAGTGGACAACTTCTCCCTGGGTATCGTTATCCGCAACGCGCCGTCCGCCATCGGCTCCGCGGGCGGTGGCTGTGGACTCGCCTCCTTCTTTCTCTCCCTCTCTTTGTCCTTTTTGTGTTTCTTCCGCTCGTCTTTCGACTTGTCGCGGTCCTTATGCTTGTGTTTGTCCTTTTTCTTCTTCTCCTTTTTGTGTTTGTGTTCGGAATTTTCCTCTTGGTTCAGGTGGGGCTGGGATAGGTTAGGGTGAGGTTCCGGTTGTGGGGGAGGGGGCGCCGGAGCGGGGGTTTCAACCATCGGTTCGCGCTTTATTTCTATAGGAGATTTGCGTTCCGTTGGGACGGTAATGGGGGCGGGTTTCGCGAGGCTTTCCTTGAGCAAATTTGACACCAGAGTGGGGTCGGTCTCTATGCCGTTGAGACTCCTCGACGGCGGCTCCGGCTTCCGCTGTTCGGGGGGTCGCGATCTGATCGTGTTGCCGCGTTGGGAGTCGCGTATCACATTCTCGTAGCCGGGCGTCTCGTCGAGTTTCTTGACGACCGGCACCAGTTCCGGCTCCGAGTTGGACGGCGCCCGTTGCCTCGGCTGCCTTGGCGGCGGCTCTTTGACGGCGGGCGGGGACGAGAATGGGGACAGTATGGCCGGCGGTTGCATTTCGCGTATCGCGGCCGTGGGGTCGGGCCGCTTTTTGTGCGGACTGGGGGGCTTTTGCTCTTGGAGGATCGGTTGAGAGTGCGCTTGGGGCGCTTGTATCGGCGCAGGGGCCGAGAGGGCGTTGGGGGCGGCCGGTAGCGGGCGGGCGTCCGGCCGGGGCGGCCTTTGCTCCCTGCTAGTGGGGGGCTGCAGTCTCCTGGGGGCCGAAGCGGCAGCGGCGGTGGGCGTGGTCGCGTTCTCGGGCGAGAAGAGCGACGGCGGGCGCGTTCTCTGCGGCACCGGCTCCGGTTGGGGTTGGGGCGGTGGTTGGGGCTGGGACTGAGGGTTGGGCGGATGCGGCACCGCCTGGGCGGGGTTTGACGCAGCGGGCGGCACTTGTGGCGGCCTGTGGTGCCTGTGATCGTGGGGCGGTTTGTGGTGCGGCGGCTTGTGGTGCGGCCACGCGTGGTGCGGCTTGTGGTGGTGCTGGCCCGAAGACGGCCTCTGATGGTGGGGCGGCGGTTGAGAACTACCCGGCCTCGGCTGCTGGGAGGAGCTGGGCCTCGCTTGCTGCATAGCGGCCTGCCTCCGCTCTCTTTCCTCCCTTTCTCTTTTTTCTCTATACAAATTGTAGTCTATTTTCTGCGGTTGTGTTGCATTAACGGGTGGGGCGGATGTCGCCGGCACATAACCACCGGCGCCAGGCTGACGACGCCTCTCGCGCTCGTATTCTATTAATATAGTTTTAATTAAGTTTAACTAATAAATAATAAAAACTTTTTTCATAAGAAACAATATTTATCCTGTTACCTTTGTCAAATGATTTGTCGAACTCATCACTATTGGGCGGTGGGTGTTTCTTGTCGAATGGCGAGTTGGGTACACCTGGAGCGGAAGAGGACGGATGTGCGGCGTTTGAATGGGGTGAACTGCCGCCTGGAAGTTAATTCAGAATCAGTACATTAGCTATTTCGCTAGGTTTAAATCCAATATAAGTTGAGGACTAAATAAGTAATGACAAACATCAAGTATTTTTTTTTGTTTATATTAATAGTCACACAATTTTTAACGAGTCAAAGAGTGGTTTGTTAGTAAAGTTTATATGTAAAACAAAAAGGAAAAAACAAATTACATAGACAGGTGTTATAATAAAAAGGTACTGATACTTGTTATGGACACAGATTTAAAGTTCATTTTCTAAGGTCTCCTAATCCTCGATGCGTTAGATTTTAAGGTCAACACTTACACTTTTATTAAAACTAGGAAGATAAACGACCAATAAGTGCTCATAATACTGAATTCAATGAACACTTTATACAGCTTTACAGCCGTAGTTAGATTACGTTTACGTCTGTCTGACTACGTGACAGATAAGCGTCGAAATATATTTCAAAACCTATTGTACACACCTTTCAATATTACATGTTATTGTTATCGATGTACAAAAGCTTCTTTTTTTGCCGTAACCCACACATGTTACATTCATATTAGATATGTCACATAGAACATAGAAACCAAAGCAACAATATTTCAACCCATACTCCCATGATCTGTGAAGTAATGATATTTATTATTCGAAATAGCTTTGTTATCTATCTTTGGTCAAAGAACCTATTTTGTGGGTTAGAGCAAATTCGTTTTGTTACTTTTGTATAACGATACCACGATGTTCGGTACATTAGTCTGTCAGACGAACTTGCTTCAACACGGCGTAAGTTTAGTGTATATTCGTTTAACGCGAACCAAGTTCTTTGACATTCTTGAGACCATCTCCACTCACTGTTGTTGGACATTGTCATCATCTTCCTCTTGAGCCGAGAGGGGCACTTGTCGAAGATGTGCAGGAATTCAGCAGTAAGCCGCTCGAGGAGCTCCGAAGTTACGCTGCGGTCGACGTAGGAGAACCAGTGGCGACCTTCGTGCGATTGCGGGATCTGAATGGAATGGAATAGAATAGAATAGAATGCGCTAGAAAAATGTTCCAATTGGAATTCATCGTATAAAAATGCGTGTTGGAAAGGGGGTGGAATAATAAGGGCATTAAGAATACTTTCGAAAGTCTATAAGGAAAAATTATTGAACATCATAAAGGTACATCTTTAAAATAATTTTTAAAGAAGTCCTATATTGTATAAAAAGGTTTGATGTATGTAATATTTTTTTAATTAAGTATATATTTTTGGTTGTGATCGGGCAAATAAGACAACGCTGGGATCAAGGAAATTATAACTAAATGTTATTTTCTCTCGATAAAGGAAAACATCGCGAACAAATCGGCATTAGCGGAATTCTTCAAATTCATTCTGGTTCCCCAAGATATATGACAAAGTACCTTGCAGTAAAGTGTATACTTAATAACGTTCAATGAGGTCTAATTTATTAGTATATTAAAGTAACAGCTTGCACATATCCCACAGCTAGGCAAAGGCCTCCTCTCTAAACAGGGTATCAGGGCATAGTCCACCACGCGACCCCACTGCGGATTGGCGGACTTCACAATTTCGAAAAACTATTTTTATTATTTCGAAAATATACAGGTTTCCTCACGATGCTTTCGTTCACCGCTGAGCACGAGATAAGACAGCACTTAAAAGTAACAATGTCATTGGTGCCGACACAAGGGATCGAACTCAGGTTGCTAGAGTATATTAAATTAAAGGCGAGCGCCCGGACACGGAGCTATCACGGCTCAATTAATAGGCTAATTTAATAGGAAAAGGAAATAAAGATTGCATAATTTATAGGTATTATATAAGCGTTACTCACCGACCAATTGCTCCATTTTGACGCGAGATGTATGCAGAAGCAGGCGACGACTGTCGGCCTATACTGCAAGCACATCGTGGTCAAATGGAGGCTGTTCGACGCCATGAAATACGAGGTCTGCGCTAGGTCCTTCGGAGCTGAAATAGATAAAATTAAGCTCATTCAATAATCTTATTCAAGTATACTATTCGATATAAACGTATAATATAAATATACACTCATTGAAGCGAAAAGAAATCATTACAGACCTATGTGATAATATTTAAAAAAAAAAAACAGCAATATAAATGCGCTTTGGAAATTGGGGAGTATGCTTAATGAGGGTGGAAACACAGTCCTTCTAAATCAATTATAAGTAGTGTAAACGTCATATTATATGGTGATGGTCAAAGTTTTTAGGTCTATGGTCAGTCATTGAACCTATAAGAAACATGCAGGAACATTAAAAGATTAACACTAAACTTAATAATGTATAGTTAACGAAATAAGTCTATTTATTAATAATTATGTTCATCATCTAGACTTAAATCCAAAAGGAAACCTTTGACAAGTTCTATTGTGTATATGAATTCTTAGAAATAAAATATATTAAATACCAGAACTGCAATTTTAACATTGTACAACTATCGAGGCTGCTAGAAATTAATTGTTTTCGAATAAATAGACTTTTCGCTGCAACTATAGCAATTCAGGGCGAGAGATTTTGCTGTGGTGATGTGCGTGAGTGGGGTGGACACACAAAGTTTTAATTTAAGACTATTTTCACATACCTCTCGGCGGTGGCATATATGCGTGATACTATTGCCCGTTGTTGGTCCACTCATTTTTTTTGTATGAATCGCGAGCGGCAAGTCTAAGCGGTATTCGAGAAACGGTTGTGCGTTCCTTTTATAGAAATCTTACCAATCAATTTACAGTTAACATAGCCTATTTAATTACAAATATCAAAGGAAGGTTGCAATTTTTTTTAAAAAATCACTAAGTTTATTGAACATTGCAAACACTGAAAGTGTTACAATTAATTTTTTTTTTATAATTATACAGAGACTATACTTTACATGAAAAACTTCCCTCATTATGATTATTGACATTTTAATTTGTTTTCATATGGCAAGCTCTAAAAATACAAAATAATTATTGCACTGGCCAACGATAACTTGGTTTGACCAAATTAAAAAAAATCAAATTACAAAAAAGGAACACCACACCGTTCCAAAACAATAACCGCACATAAACATAGACCGGCCGTACGCAAATCCGCCCACATCGCTGCCGCGTAACGGAACGCACCCGCCGCACGGCTCAGTGGGCGGTCAACCCGCGACGCATACGGACGCTTGTCTCACCTTTGACAAGGTGACACGTGCGTACAACGTGAGTGTGCGGATGGTCGATCGCGACATCAAAACCTAACGTCTGTAGGAGTACGTTCTCGTTGAATACCAGGTCCTGCGCCTGGAACGAAAGCTGCCTTTAAACCGAGAAACGCTCGGAATATATTAATAAATTAATATAAATACAACGCCCCGATACCTGTTCTTGGTATTGTTCAGAAGTGAGGGCATTAACTCCCTCACCTCTGTGGAGGCAGACATGTGCCACCTTTATTACATATTCTAATTTTCGTGGTTGTTCCTCCACCTAAAAAAAAAAACAAACACTTATTACATCTTTGACGATTGATTAATAAAGCATTGCATAGCAGTAGTTATAATTTGCATTTTTATTGCACGTAGCGTAATGAAAATTAAACGCCTCAATTGTATATGACGGTATTTAATGTATTTAGTTTAAAAATTTATGATTAACTCGGGCCTCTGGAATATAAATACTGTGATAATAACCTACACTAGAAAATTAATGCTGTCACGAGAACGTTTCAAAAACATTAATTCACTTACATAAAGTACACCTAGATCCGCAAGAACCATCTATGTTTTTGCGCAAGTTTTTGTTCCGTTTGGGGATCAAACCCAAACAGAAGCGCTATGTCATGGTCAAGTCACCATATACCATTGAGCCATTCGTGGACGCATTTTTACGATTCATTTAATAAAGTACGCCTGCGCTTACTATACACATTTCAAATTTGGTTGTGGCCAGTGGTTTTACATAAAATATCCATGAATGAAAATATCAAATAATGAAACAATAAATTCAGTGTTTTCTTGATTTATACAGCGTGTCGTTACCATCGCGACAATAAATGAACACACGTCTAACGTTACTTGCCAATAATCATAAAAAAATATTAACGTTAAACAAAATCCATTATTAAAAAAAATATTTTTCAAACAAACTAATTAAGTAAAAAGAAAACAAAATTTGTAACATCCTATACAACTCGCGCCACAGCGTCGTATTACAAGCCTCTCCTTCTAACAGTATGTTTTGTCTCTTTTAAATTTATTCAACCCATTCATATGCTTTGTGACCTTTACAAATGAACTTTACGTTACGCTTTTATAGGTAAGGGTGTTCTAAAATTCTTTGTTTTGGAAAATTTAATAACTCTGTAAATATTGATGTTTAAAGAATTTAAATGTTTAATACAACTTTAAAAAGTTATCCCCTATATGTGTGTTCATTTATTGTCGCGATGGTAACGACACGCTGTAGAGGCAATAAAAATTCTACATACCTTTGCCGCGAGAAATAGCGCCGCGGCGGCAATGGCGTTTCTGTGGAATTGCGTGAAGGAGTGGAAGGCGTAGAAGCGATGCATATACACGATGGCCGTGTTGATGCATAGTTGTGAACTGTTATACTGGAGTCAAGGAAATTTCGCTTTTCTCGTCTTTATGAAAACTTATTAGGCATAAAATTCAAAAAAATTAAAATATCGATCACGCAGACAACATTACACGAATAAATTTGACAGTTAAGTGTGCGTAAAACGAAACACCGAAAAATAATACAACAATTATTGTGTTTTCAGTATGCGAAAACGTACCACTTTCACTATTTGTTGCTTTTTCCTTAGATTCGTTCCAATGTTTTCAGCTATACGACGGACAAATACTTAGATCATTAGTTCTCGTGCAATTATTTTACAATTTAAATGCATAACATAAATCTTCAATTAAGACGCTTTAACAGAAAAACATTCACCTTCTATTTGTATGAGCTTTAAAAAAAGTTATAAGTTAACTGGTTGAATATCGTAAATCGAACGATGAAATTAATAAAAATGTCGGGTCAACATACCACCGAAGAGGCCAACGCATCTCGCGTCAAGTGTACGCATCGTTTTGCGTGCTAATTTTTTTTGCGACCGTGTGCAAAAAGTTGTACAGAGTACGTGTCCCGTTCACAGCCTACTTTCACTATTGTTCGACCAGTTTCGGGCTGGTGTGACGAAACAATCGGCGCTTTATAGCGTCCCGCTGAAAACTTTCGAATATGTAAAGCTCACGCCTCGCTGCGGAGGTGGACAGGTATAGATACCATAGTTCCGTATATGCTTCTTAATTATTTCACCGTAACAAAAATGCCACAATTTAACTAATGTCAAACTCCTGTCCCTATGTTGGTTATACTAGTCGACTTTTACTATTACTATCAATTAAACTTAAATATAAATCCAGTATAAGCAACAAAGACTGTATGTATAAAAGGCCATATTAAGTCTTAAGGAACTGAATTTATTACCAAGTTTCTGAATAATGTATAAAAAATCTTATCAAGATTGATATTTGTATGAAATAAATTTATTTTGTTAAAAATAAACACATCAATGATTAGGATAAAAAGGTGCTTTTTATGTTTTCACAAAATAGATTTTATTTATCAATGTTAAAAATTCTAAATATAAACTTTTAAATTTGAAACAGTTAATAACATAATGACATAGACCTATTAGTAAATATTTCACCATAATCATTAGGGGACTATGAAATATAAAAACAATAAGCAAAACAAAATTCCATTATGTGGTATGGTGAGTCATAGGCGTAATTTTGTACCGCAGACTACAAACCGAACACAACATAACCCCACTTGTGCTTGGTTAATGACTCTTTAGATTACTCATAGACTCGAGCTTGATAAATACTATTTATTCTTTTTGTTACTTTAACCATAATTATAAAGTTCAAAGAACAGACACAAATTTATTGATAATTGTCTTGGTTTTATTGACTTCAAATATCAATTGGGTAATTGTGTAAATTAAGAGTTTTTTATTTATTTAAAGTCAAGATCAAGGAAATGTAAGGTTTGTATTATAATAATTACTAGCTGACCGGACAAACGTTTTGCCATATAAATTATTTGAAGGGGAGAAAAAAATGTTAGGGGTGGACCACCCTTAACATTCAGGGGGATGAAAAATAGATGTCTGATTCTCCACACTGGCCGATATGCACATGAAATTTCACGAAAATCAGTTGAGCTGTTTTGGAGGAGTTCAGTTACAAAACACCGTAACACAAGAATTTTATATATTAGATGCATAAAACTTTAAGACTACTAATCTGTTTTAAAGGCAACAGTGACATTATTATTATTATTTATTGAAAAAAATAATATTTTACAATGTTAGTTATCATAATAAACCTTGTTCCATACTGATTGTATAAATTTATGGTATGGAATGTTATATTATTTAAATAAATGAAATATTGAAATAATTAAAACTATAATACATTAGTATTATACTTATTAGTATAAAAATCAAAATAGGTAATATAGGTTATTTAAAAAAATGCATTTAAAAAGAACAAATTCTTAAAATCAGATATAGAAGAAAAAACAAGGAAGAAAACTCTGGAATCACTAAGGCAAGTCCAATTTTACAGGTTGTCTTAAAACAGCACTCATAATTGTGTAAAAATAGTCTATTGTTATCATAATGCTTAAACAAAGATATATAAGTTGGGTATTGTACATTGCATATTCAAACCTATAAGCTAATGTAATAATGTGAAAATCATGAGATGAAGAATTAACAGGTGAATTCCAAAAACATCTTGAAAAGAGAGCAGGTAAAAGGAACAGTTGTATTGTATCCCAATTTTGACCTGGGGGCTCTATTCAAAAATTTAAATAGCCATTGTAAACAATATTCAACAGTTCTTTTGAGTTTCTTCTGTGAAAATACAACACATCTCTTTCATAGAAGTGATGTTTTATGGTATATACTAGACCATATACCAAAATATATACCAGAAATACCTTAAACACATTAAAAAGACTTTGTGTAACAGTAACACATTCATTCATATTGCTAAGACCAATAGATGAAAGCAATACAAGATGGAAGTTAATGAACTCTTAAACTTGACATTTATCAAAGCTTTATTGAATAAATTCTCAGTAAGCCACTTAAAAGCAAGTGCACATAATTAGCAGAAAAACATTTGCAAGAATGTGTGTTTTCCTAAATTCCATGCAGAATTTAATTTACAATTGTGTAATGTCACACATACCGCACAAACTGTCAAGGTCAAATCAGTTGTAAAAATATGTCCGGACACAAAAATTATTATCTATAAGTAATTTGAATAACAACTTGATATAGCTTGAATAAGATGTAGCAAAGAAAAATATCGAAAAAACATGAAATTAGAGCAAAGTGAAAAAGGTAACACAGTAGCCAACCATTTTTTTTAACCATATTTATGGTTAAAAAAAATAATTAATGTTGTTAGAGTTTCCGTAAAATGCTTTTTTTTTTTGACAAATTGTGCTGATGACAACATTGCTCCTGGTGGAAAACTATATAAACAATATTTTATGATTATCGAATATTTTTTCTGTATCGATATTTAATATAACGTTGATAACACCCCGTGCATGGCTTGCGGAGTGGATACAAGGCTATCGCGTTAATACAACGCTCCGCCACCAGGAAGCGATAAGAAGACAACGAACGTGATTCAAGACGCGAAAATTTCACGAGGAAAAAAGGCGGTTAATTTTAGCGGGCAGGTCGATCGCCAGACCCTACGTCATACGCGCAGGCGTCCACAGCTGTCAAGGATCACTGACCTAAAAAATATCACGCCATCACGCGGCTCTAACCTAAATGACTTTTCAAATGATAACAAACTAATAATATTTAAACATGAACTCGCTTACCTTTAGAAAACATTACCTCAATGAACGGGGCGGCGGGTTTTCCCAGTTATCGGAGGGAAAGTAACAACACAGCAATCGTTAACATGAAGACATTTCGTCATACTTTTCACCATGGCACATCATCACAGAACACGACACTATCTTTTAAATTATATTAGTAATGATGGACAATAATTTCTAGTTATGAAAACACTAATTTAAAGCGGGTTTTACACGTTTTACGCACATGACTTGACAAAAACATTGCACTTAATTCGCCACATTGAAAAGGATACACTTGAAGCCTTTGGCCCATATCCTGGATAAGATTCGCTGCCTGCTGCCGGTAGGCAAGCTCCTTATCTGCATCTAAACCGCATCTTCTGCTTGGAGAATTCTGGAGTTGCTCTTTTGTAAAATACCATTTCTCTTGTCCTCCAGCCATTGAACGAATGTTCCAATGACTGTCCGCGAAGAAGCACGACGGAAACTTTTGCTCCGTCTAAAGTGCCCAAGTGGAAAAGGGACAGCGCTATGACAGCGACGGACGGATGCAGACGACGATAACATTTGAAAGATTTTACAATTTAAGAACTAGCATATTGAAATATGATAGATTTACAATACAAGTAAACAAAAGCAAATATTCTCATAAGTTTTTGTATGTTACTTTGCTAAAGAAATTTTATGTTAAAAATATCGTTACTACTTGTAAACTTGATAGTATAATCAAACGGCAGCCATTGAAAAGCTTGGTGGTTAACGTAGTGAGGTCTCCGGTGACAGAAAGATGATCTGCAATAAACACGGGTAAGATTTACATTGTCACTATGTTTAATTAGATAGATCAAACTTTACCGATTACTTTGTTTATATTTTTAACATAATTCATACACTTTTAACGGAAACAATATCATTTTAAATTTACGGACCTAAAAACTCTGTCACTCGGTGCAAATGGCCGACCCACCACTGTTTACAATACACTTTCTTATTTCTAATGTCACAAAACATTTGTGCCCCTTTTATCAACATTTAAAGTTGTTCAAAAATTTTATGCTTATATTTTATTAAGATTCACGCAATATATTTATCAGTCACAAACTATTTAATTATTCCTTTTTTAAATAAGTATGGTATTTGAAATTGTTGTCTATTACTTTTGTTTCGCAAGTACGTGGATATATTGGTATTGGATTGGGTCGGAACGAAGAATATAGAAAAAAGGTTTCTTACATAATTCGTAATAATATTTTTGTCATCAATATTTGTTTACCATTATATTATATTATTGTTGTTTACCATTCCATCCTTAATTAAGTACAATTAAAGACAATCTGAAATGTTTCCGATTAAAAAGGAAAATACAGTAGATTTGCACAATCATAATATAAGAGTTACTGAGCGTAAGTATTGAAAACATTGATTAATATTACATTTATAAATTTCAAGATACAAAATTATATACATACATATTATACCTAACATTTAATAACATAAGTTCCAGATGTGTACAAAATTAATGGGCTAAACCATAATTATATTATTTATTAAGTATTACTTTTGAGACAATATGCAAGTAAAAAAAAATAATAACTAAAATATTTTTTAACATTGAATAAAATTAAATTAAATTTTAAAGTACTATAGTAAAGTAGTATACTGCTGTATCATTATTTTATGCGAAGATTGGGTTTGCTTTTAAGAAACGTAAATTTTTATTTCTTTGCAAAAGTTAAATTTTGCCATGTTAGTGATTAACGTGAAAGTAAGATGCAATTTTATATTCGATTATTTTTTAAGATGTATACTTCCAAGCAATGAATTGAACTATGAGCCATAATTTCATATGAATTTTCATTGTTTATTGCTATACCTTTTCTTACAGTTAATACATCGTCAATGTCTGATATGACATCTCGGCCACAACCTAAGGTGATACACCTACCAAAAGTCAGAATGCTTAACCGAGGTAGAGGCTCATCATCCTCCATCAGGATCACCAATGTCAAGTCCATTAAACCACCCGATCCAGATTTGGTAAAAAAACAGGAAGAGGAAAAATTAAGAGCTCAGGTAGGATACAGATCTGGCTAGGAGGATCGTTTTTACTTGCATTGTTATGAAGAGAAGCACAAGGCTAGTCACTTTTTATCTGCATATTTAATTTTAATATTGTTGTCTTGGTAACAAATATCAATGGAGACAAGTGTATGGATTAAGGATTAAAATGCCTGTATACATTGTGGTAGGTTTGATCCCAACATATGTGTGATACCTAAATAATTGTTTTAATGATACAGGGCATTTATTGACTATAGTTTAGTGCTGACTGCCATAGGCATTTTTAATTATTTAAAAGTTCCCTTATATTATAATACATCACTGTTTTTATTAGTCCCCAATAAGATATGAGAACCAATTACATTCAATAATTGAAATTAAATAACCAATCAACTTTCTTTGTGTTGTGTAAATTACAACAAAATAACCAAAAAATTGAAGTTTCAAAATATTATAAAAAAAATTAACACAAAAATATAAAATGAGTCATGATATAACAAGGCCCAAGATATAGTCTTACTAATGTTATTATGTGTGCTTTTCACAGTTACAGCAAGAGATAATGTCCCGTGCTCGCTCATGTGCATACCGCGGTTACACATGTCTCTTACCAGTATTAAGTGGGCGGCAGCATTGTGCGCGGCACATTCTTCATGAGCCTGGTGCTCCGTACAAGCAATGCCTGCACACATACTCAGGTGGCCAACGCTGCAACAAACCTGCACCAATGTCTACTGGATCTCAGACCAGAGATGCAGGGTAAGTAGTATTCTATATTTTTATTTTTAATTCTAGTCTGCCCTAAGGATGAAATTGAAAGAGATAAATTATCGAAAAAAGTGTACTACCCAGAAGATGCGGGTTTGAATCCTGGCAGTCCTGAAAGATTTTCTATTATCTATAAATTTTAACTCATAAGGTTAACATCTTTGGCTGCTTTATTTAAAACGATAATCAATAGTTATATAATGATGTATTTATGCTTTCTTTTTATTTTATTTTTTTTATGTTAGAAGGTGGCATGCTGATGGTTTACCAGATGTAAGTGATAACCGCTGCCCATGGACATATGCGACATCTGTAGTGTTGCAGATGCGTCGCCTTAAGGCCCATTTACACGATGCCATTTTCTTGTACATACAAGAGCAATACTTCAATGCAATAAGTTGCACGCAATAATTGACCATCAAGAATTGTAAGCAATAGTTTACACGCAGATAAAGTAAAAAAAATTGAATGCGATTATTGTATGCAAGTCTTGACAGGAAATAATTGCAAAGGTCTTTTGTTTACACCAATGCAATTATGTCTAGGCGATTATTGCTTTCAAGTTTTGCCTTGTCTAAACACATGCTTGTATGTGCGTGTATAATTTATTGGCGTGTTGCTTCAAGTATTGCACGTATTTGCGTTGACAAATTTTTCATGCAAGTGTTGAACGTTTTACAAAGGGCTGTTTTTTTAAAAAAAAATGGCTCAATAATAAGTGTTCAAGTTAGATTATGCTGATTAAATATATTTCATTGAGATTTATTTATTATGATCCATATATTATTATTCATATTTTTATCCAACTTTTCTTATGGCCTTTTCTCAATATTTCTATCCTCAAAAGAACAGCAATGATTAAATACCCTCACTCATTGCACTAATTTTTGCAAAGTAAGAGAAAATGCAATTGAACAAGAATTGCTTAAGAAATTATTGTGTGTGCTGTTTACACCAAGGAAAGTTTTGAAACAAAACTTGAAGCAAGTCTTGTTCAACAGTCAAGAATGTTATGTGCTGTTTAGACAATGCAACTCATTTATTGCTTCAATTTAATTGTATATAGCAGGCTAGAAACTTGCACCGTGTAAATGGGCCTTTACTCACCAAACAAACTGCATAAATGTAACACTTCCATTCCACACCAGTCTTCTGTGAGGTTGTGTTACTTCCCCGGACGGACGTGCTTAATCATACTACAGTGAAGACTGTTGCGTGGCCCTACCACAGTTGTAAAAAGTGATCAACAGTTGTATTTGTCAATTGAGATTATGAAATTTTGTAGAATCTTCTCTTTTTCCTACATTTCAAAAGAACATGTTAACCCACCAACATATCAAATTGGAATAAGAATTAATACAATAAATGGGAGACCGTTTGGAATGAACAAAGAAACATTATGTTTTACACATACTTTTATAGATTCTAATTTTATCTTTTCAGATTATGCTTCGAACACGCGCGTGCAGCTTTATACGCCCGCCAGCGTAGCGCGGCTCCACCGCCGCCTGTTACTACCACGGAGACTCTGCTGAACCAGTTGCAACACTATGTTCGGTACGTTGACCTATGCTGCCCAATGACCACCTGCCATATGGCACTGGTCTGCAGTGGAAAAAAATATTTGTGACCTTAACACAGTAGGTCACTTCTTTGTTCTAAGTTGGCTTTGGAAAGAGGACCATATGTAAAAAAGGGACTGCATGGACACCAATTATTTCAAAAACTATGCTACCACTAAATATTAAATATCTAAATGTATGTCTAGCACTACATATTATATGCTTGTATTTAAACTTCATAGCTACTTAATGCATATTGGCCTTCTGTACCAGTCAATCCTAGTCACGGTAAACTAACGATCGCAGGTGCTAAACAAATAATGAAATATGACATTATTGCACAAAAATTGACATCTTATGTTTTTATTTACTTTTCATGCTAAGCTGCTGACATTAATTTTGGTCAACAGTCCGGAACGAACTCGGACGACTTCATGCGCATCTTCTGTCTCCGTGGTCAGCGACCCCATGGAGCAGGAGCAGGTGGCGCCGCACGCGGTTGACCCCTTCAGTAAGTCTCCATGTTGGTACGAATAATAAGAAATGACATGTGATAAACCAAAAAAAAAATAAGTATGACTGTGAGAAAATTCAATTTTTATATACTAACGCCCGTTTTTTGAAACACTGATCGTCGTAGAAATTAACTGTCAAACAGGTGTCAAATATCATTTGAGTTGGCAAAAGGATAGTTAAACTCTTTGAAATGAAACCGGGCTCCTGTGTCGATGATGTGTGTCTTTTAGTGATGATCCTGATCGTTGGCAGGGGATCCGTATAGGATTTTTCGCACGTAAACGGACTTACCCAACCCCATCCACACAAAGTACTAATACGATATTAAATGTGCGAACCCCCCGCAGAGCAGATTGACGCGACCGCAGTGAATGCGGCCTACTCCTCGTCGCTGATGGAGTGCGCGAGCGGCAGCGACAGCGACTGCGACAGTGTGACGCTGGGCCCCGAGGGTGACTGCCGCGCGCTGCACGAGGACCGCCTCTCCGACGCGGAGGAGGCGCCCTGCGAGTCGCAGCCTCTCTGGTAACCCCCACTCCATTTACACCACCCAGGCTGCTTCTGTACACTTTGGACCATTAATCAATACTTTGGAGACACCTGGCAGCAATTCTTCTAGCAGCAGTTAATCTTCGTCAGACAACAAGCGATGCTTGCTGCGGTAGTGCCTCTCTGGTCGCCCCTCCACTCGATTTACACCACCCCTGCTGCTTCCATGCACTTTGTACCATTATTCAGTACTCTGGAGGCAACTGGCATTAGTGGCTGCGTATGTAATCGTCGTCAGACCACAAGCTATGCTTACAGAGGTAGTGCCACTCTGGTCACCTCTCCACTCAATGTACACCACCCGGCTGCTTCCGTACCCTTTGGACCATTATTCAATACTTTGGAGACACCTGGCATCAGTGGCTGCATGCGTAATCTTCGTCAGACAAGCTATACTTACTGCGGCAGTGCCTCTCTGGTCACCCCCCACTCCATTTACACCACCCCGGCTGCTTCCGTACAGTTTGGGCCATTATTAAATACTTTGGAGGCCTATTCCCCAAACTTTATGCAACTTGTCTACTTAGTAAAGCAGCGATCATGAGCTTAAAAAAAGTACTAATTGAGTAAAATACACAAAAGTACTAAAGTAAACTCAGTGAGTAAAATTCTAACTTCTACGCTTCAGATCCGGAAACACAGACCATGAATATTGTGCAGTGTTGTAGGAATGAAAGAATATCAGAAGAAATATCTTTCCTACCCGGATTCATATCAATTTACTTTACTTATGATATTTTCTTTTTGTTTATTCAAACTGAATCTTTTTGGATCTAAACTTTGGTTTATAACTTTTTAATATGTTGATAACAACTGAAATAATTAAAATGTTTTCGTTACAGGCGAGCAGGTGTTTATACTGCAGAAGAAGCAGTGAATGAAGCCAAGACTGTTTTAAAATCCCTGCAATCAGCTTATATAAGGCAAATGGGCCGTTTAAAGATACTACTCCAATCCGCTAGACACCAGTATCTGAAGTCTTTGAAGACTGAGAAAGAGCAGTATTGTAAGTATTCTATTGGGTATATACATGTATACAGTATATAAAAACGTGTGAAGCAATAATGAATATGCTGTGATACTAACTAGTAGATGTAAAAAAAGTTTGGATAATTATTAAATCAATATTAATAAATTACATTATCAAATTTTATGGATGGATGAATAATTTTCAATATGCACGTAAAGAGCGCTTAACAAAATGATAAAGTTACTTGGTGTCACCCACTGGTCTTGCAAAACTGTCTGCTACCGACCATGGATATTAATTCTGACTTACCGTCTACTTCCAGGCAGCATCAACTCGCAGGCGCGCGGTGGTCCACTGACGGTGCGCGAGAGGCGGCAGTTGCGCAAGCTGAAGGCGTATGCGGGCTACCACAGGAAGCACGGCGTTGACGCGGTCCTGGCCAGGAAGTTGCACCACAAACGGGCCAAGGTGCGGAGACATAGTTATTGTTCCGACATAGTTCAAGTTATTCTTCACGGTGGTAGGGCCACGCAGCAGTCTCGACTGTTGCAGGAATGGGCAGGCTCGTCCGGGTAAGTACCACGACCTCACAGAAGACCGGCGTAAAGTGGAACTTTATTACTTTCGCGTTTCGTCTGGTGAGTGAGGTGGCCGGAGCCCAATTTTCAGAAGGTGTAACAGATGTTCGTGGGCGGCGGTATTCACTTAACATCAGGTGAACCGTGTGCTCATTTGGTAACTTTTCACATAAAAAAAAAAAAACATACTTCAAGTGGTTCTTTCGCGGTTTGTTACTCTTCCAAATAGTTCAAGTTATTCTTCCGACATAGTTCAAGTTATACTTCCGAAATAATTCAAGCTATTCTTCCATAATACTTCAAGTTATTCTTCCTACATAGTTTGTTATTCTTCAGACATAGTTAAAGTTATTCTTCTAACGTAGAACCTTAAATTGGCCTGTTGGCTGTTACAAAAGGCTGTTTTGTTTTCATATGCAAAAAGTCTGTCTCTCATACATTCCCAGAGAGATAAAAGATAGAATATGAAGAGTATTCTATCTTATCTTTGGCTATCAATTGCAGTTATTGTTTTCATGTGTAAAAAGTCTGTCTCATGTACCTTCCCAGTTTTAAAGATGTGATGCTTCATCCATAAACATTGTCAGAGAGACTATGAACTAGTGAGACTAATGTAGCCTATTTTGGTACTTATTTATAAACTGAGGAGTGGGTCATTTCTGACGTTATTTGGTTTATTATTGTCATCATGAACATCTGTAATGCTTAAGTTAGTTTAATTAAATGATAAAAAGTCAATAATTAAATGTTAAATAGTAATTTATTTTCATTTAGACATGAGAAATTGTATTTTCTACACATCCCGTTAAATGGCTATTGGCAATTAGTTCAATATGAAACTTTTCAGGTCAACGAAACACCATCTCATCGACCCATACCTTCGCAAGGACGATGCACTTTCACTGAGGGAGGTGTTCGCTGCTCAACCCACGTGTTGCCAGCCGCTAAGCATTGCCTCAAGCATATTCTGTATGATAGACACCAAGTGAGTCATTGACATGGTTTTTAACGTTTATCGCAGACTGATATATGTATAATTTAACTGGAATTTAAGATGACAATGTTAGCTAAATTGAGAATATCCAAAATTGATATTGTTGAGAACTGAGAAATTTAGTTATGGTTTTCTTTCCACAACCAATGAAAATTTCTTACAGGTATATTATGCCCCATCATTAAACATATTACCAATCTGGCCTTTCATCACTTTTTTTGCAGTTCATTAGCAAGATGGGATATGGAATTTTAAAAACTCCACACCCGGCCCTCGGTCTCACGTTGCCCCTCCTTCGGAAACAAACACCCAGATCCGTAACAATTATCTGTGCGTCACACAAATACTTGCCCCATTTGGGCATCGAACCCACGACGCCGAGACCTATATATAGTTTAGCAAGGGCGCCAAAGAGTTATTAAATGGTATGCACCGTTCAAAAATGTCATTGGTCGCAGGTGCTGTTCGGTGCCTGCGCGGACCCCCGCGGCTGCGCCCCTTGCGGGGAGCCGGTGGCGCGCCTCCCCTTGCCGCACTCGTGCCGCTACCACGCCGCCCCGCCGCCCTACCAAGTGTTCACGCTCAAGGTAACCCACGCCCGGCCGCATTCTTATCAATACATCTGCGGTAGGGCGGCAACAGTCTCCGCTGTTGAACGGATTTCATCTTTGTAATGAAGACATCTCAGTTGTGGTGGTTTTGCATGTCACAAAATTACATCTCATTGGGATCGAATTTGATCTGTAATGATGTACTCGGCATGGGGAGATCGTAGATATGCAGCATAATTAGAGTTGTCTGCTGGAGGCTTGCTGCTTATAAGCACTGATTCTCTTGGCTAGAATGGCCTATGGGTTACGAAATCGGCACAGTCGTTGCCCGCAAAAGGGAACGAGTGGACTTTATGTTCAAGTGCCTGTGTAAGAGGGGAGTTTCTTCTCGAGGAGCTGTCGAAGATTGCGAAAATGTCCCCATGATCCTATATATACGCTCTGGGTTTAACACGTGGGGGGTGGTAGGCGGTGCGAGTCCAATATAAACCGTCCTTACACACGCGACGGCCGGCATACAGCTGTTTTACAGAAAAAAATTATTAATAAATTCTACAGGGAGACTTTTCTAAGTGTATCGATTTTTTTTATTAAATTCTAGTCATAAATAATGTTATATAAAAATGATAAATAATTAAAATCATTCGTAATTAATTAAACTTATCTCAAAATGTGCATGATTTATGGGCAACTCATTTATTTTACGCGCGATCATTCATAACTAACACTCACACAAGTTCGTTTCAAAAGTATACGACGCATTTATGAATGCCTACCGCATTGTCAACAAGTTCTGTTTTTTAGGGAATAGAATGGATAGAATCTTATTGAAAAAAAAAAAAAGTATTTTTTATTTCAATAAACGATTATACTACCGAGTCTAAACGAGTGTGAATTTGGGCCTTTAGAAAAGCCACTCTGTATAAATCCTATTCAATAGTGGTTACTTTTTAAATGGAAGTGGATCAATTCAGATAATAATGCAAAAATATTAATGAATTTTTGTATCAATAAGCAACGTAATGACACTTTTTCACCAATGCAGAATTTATATGTGGTAGCAGTGATAATACCAGCTTGACAGTAATTTACGCAGGTAATTAAAATACACTGTATTATTAAATTAAACAAAATTATTATTTTGCGATTACAGAAAGACGGATCGGACAGCGACTCGGAATCTCACTCAAGCTCTGATGGATCTCAGACCGATGATGCTGTAGAAGACCACTACCTGGATGATGGGACCGGAGTGGATGGTGTATCAGTTGATCCTTTACAATACGAATGACACATGGACTTTGGTCATACCATGTATGACGATTTGTGGAGCTGATTAGAGTTTTATGGATGATATTGAATTCCAAAGATTAAAACATTGTGTGCAATGTTATGCTATTAACAATTGTTTGAGATCCAAAGTGTTATGGTGGTCATAAGTGTAAGGAGTAATAAAGTGCCTATGATATATGAATAATATTCCAGGACTAAAATATAGTAGTCATAATTTAGAATGTGAAATAATATACGAATGTAGTCTTAAATGTGATACCCTAAACTCAGATGGTCTTGATATACTTATCTTACTCATGCATAATATTAGCCTTGTACTTACTGTAATGATTATCTTACAAATCGTAATTCAAACAAGAACTGCTGTTTTGTCTGCCACATTGAAACAGGAAAAAAATTGTGTATAAATAAGGGACATAAACATCGTAACCAAAAGCTATCCTACAGAATAAAGTTTTCTTTAATAGTTGTAACATCAAAGGTAAAATGTGTTTAATAATGCAAAAAGTAATGTTTATATTGTTGAAATGCTTAATCTTTGTTATAAAAGCGAGAAAATATTTACAAATAAAATTAACATTGCTTTGAATTACATGTTTTCTTTACTTGAGAAACATAAATTTTATTTTCCTGTTCAATTTTTAAAATCAACCATGAAATGTTAATATTTCAATATGTCTAATGTAATATTTGATTTCTAAGTCGTTATATTGCTGCGTTGAAAGAATACTGTCGCTAGTCAAAAATGCTATATTTTCAAGGGAGCTGATTATTTCACGAAAATACTTAAATATAATAGGAAAAAAAAAACGCCTGTTTTTTAAAGTATATATAGTAATTAATGTCTTTGTTTTTATTTACTTTTCATCAAGAAAAGTGCAATAGGTCAAATGTCAATAGTTTAAAACAATAGTAAATTTTAATCAGCTCCTTTGAAAAAAATTTATTTTGAGTTGCAACAGTATTCTTCCAAGGCGGCGATATGTATACTTAAATTTGTGGAAATTCAACTGGACATGTGTAAATATTCTCAACACATAAGGAGTTGTAAGAATTAAACAAATTAATGAAACAGAATTGTCGCTTTATTCAGCAATTTCGGTTGAAAAAAAAAAATAATCAACAAAACTACACTGAAATTCTGAACATGACTATTTTTACAAACAATTTACAGCAATTTTTTTTTTTATATTAATTTCAGCGGGTGTTTTGAATACCTCCCCGGATAGTACCCGAGAGAAGCGTTGTCACAAGTCAAGTCACAATAGACTAGTGAACTTCAACTTAACTTTAAAAGTAATATTTACAAAAAACAAAGTACAACGTATGAATGCTCTTGCATTGGCAGCCCGAATGAGAAAGTCGAGGAAACAAATCGCAATTCTTCAAAGAAAAGCATTCAAAATACCCGCGACAGCCCTAAACTAGAAATCAGAAACTTATGAGGTACACATCTTCCTATCCACTTTACTAAGCGTATGGTTACCGGCCCCAAAAATGAGGCCATTTTTTTTACATTTTTTCCCAAACTTGCAGCCTTTTTGTACAGTATATGATACTTACTAATTATATATGTATAGACATAGTTAAAACCGTTACATTTTTTTGTCGCGAGTTCTTTTCCTTAACAGATCATTGGGATTATGATCTGATATGAAAAACTGCTCACTAGATTTTCTTTTAACATTGAAACAACAGGACTTTTGCGTAAACACGACTCGTTATAACTTTCGCATAGCTAGATTTAAATCCCAATTCATAGGTACATTTAGGTAATGATATTTTTAATTATTTTTTGTTTGCACATTTTTTGAAAAAATTCTAACTAGACTTGAATCGAACGGACAAACTTTAAGTTGGAACACCGAAAAAGAAACTACACTTTAACATTCAAAACGAAAAATTTCTCTTTACACTATACCACACGTTTCTCTACATGCATTCTAAATTAGGATTTAATGGACACATTTTCTCCTAGAAATCTACAATTATATATCAATTACAATGACATTTTGCGATATTTTTATTATATCCGCTTTATTATTTCAATTTCTACCGAGCAATGCAGTCAGTTTTTAACAAGTATTTTATAATAATGAGGTTTTAAGATGATTTGGTTAACTCTGTTTCATTAAAAATATGGTGAAATTAAATCGTGTCAACAGCGGTATCAAGCAATCGTAATACAAAACGTTTCCAAAAATACTCAAACATTTAATTTGTATTCTCACTTCTGTGTCATTTGTCAACAATATTACTAATAATAACCACAGATTTGATTCTTCGAAAAATCTGACGCTAGCCTGAGATAGCATTCATTCTTTAATAATTATCAGTTAATTGTAGTTTCTTCATCAGTACATTTAACTGTGGGAATATTTAAGAGAAAAGACAAATATCATTTTCATTAAAACTTACTACGCCTTCTAGTGAAAGCTTCCTAAGGTATATCCACAATACAACAAAGCTCCACCGATAACGCCTTTAACTAGAGTATAATAGTCTATATTGAAGCTTATGTTCGATATTCCATCACTTCTTCCCACACATAATGTGAGAAAATAACTTAGCCGACGTACATGTTTGGACATAGATCGTGAATAAATATTTTGGCATACTTATATGTATAACGTGTCAGCTCTAGATTTTGCTGAAGCCTGTTAAATCTTACACTTGTTACTTAGGCTCTTTACGAAATTTTATTAGTTTATTGGATACTAAAAATGGATTTAATTATCGGGACACAAAACTACAAGAGCACGGTCATATACATTACATCTCATAAAAACATTGGGCATAACTCGTATAATTTTTGTGCCCAGAAGATTAAACATTATTGATTATTTCTTTATATATTGTATGCAATAATAATAATTCCACAAGTGACCCATTCACTAACATGAGTTCAATATCGAATGTTGTTGCAATTTCTGACACCACGTGCTCGACTAAAATAAACACCGCGAGAGAGAGATAACATACATGACAGTGAAAGAGATCAACATTGTGATAAATATCAATTTAATACAATGCAAATAATGCATTCAGCATTTCTTTTTCGTTCTAGCTGAATGAAATTAAATTGTTGAACTTATACTAAATCCCTTGTTAATAATTGGCTAAAGACATTAGACATTATTTGGCTTCGATTTCTTTTTTTCATTTTTTTTCGGGACGCGGAACTGTTATAGTAGAAAGTTTTCAGTTGAAGCCCGCTCATCGAAACATGTAATATTCGATGAAAAGTTAGATGGACAACGTATATTGTTTGTTTTTAAACAACTAACAACGACATGAAAACAAGACACGGGGAAGTTATAACGAGTTCAATCTAATCCTTATCGAACATAGCTAACGCTTTGAGACTTACATGTTTAAAAATAATTCCCGAATTATCCATTCCTTTCGAAGACAAGAAGAATATGTACGAAAGGAACCACGCCTTAAGAGAACAAAATTTAAGGGTATGCGAATAAATAACAGAACAAAAAAAAAATGTAACAATGTAATGACGTCATTTCTGTAATATAAGTATCATAATTGTAGTTTCCTAAAATTTAAATTATTTAACGGTAGCAACGAAATACGGAGGATAAACATGTAGCACATTAGTAGGGATTCTTCAATGAATCATGGCGATAGTGTCATTGGTCCAGATATTTTTCCGCATACCCTCAGCTGTATGAACTGAGGAGCCGAGAACTGAGGACAGGCGCATCGGAAGTGGAACTAGTTACAATCTAACGTCGCGGGCATATCGAGCACGCGCCTCAACTACATTTCGATACAACTAATTACTAACTCCGTCCGCTCACTGGTCCGGCCAGTTAATTAAGTAAATAATCAATTAATATACACATAAAAACTATATAATACACGTAGCGCGATCTATATTACAAAATTCATACATTACACACCCATTAAATATACACTTGACGACAAATAACTATATACCACTTTTTTTTTTTGTTTCATTTCAAGTGAAAATAAACTAGAATGTTTGCTAAAGAAAACCTATGCAAGAAATGCCAGCCGTTCGAGTTCTCGACACGTGATAGATAATCAAATTTCTTAACCACAACAATCTCAAATATTGTTGTAATTTTTATTACACATAATAGAATGAATTGAATCTAAAATACGACTAATTTAGTCCGAATATAAAGTCTCATTGCAATAAAGGAAGAATTTTATATACGATAATAATTAATGACATTTAAATAAAGGGACTAAATGGCTTCAATGAAGCGGAAGTCATAAAAATGGAGAGCTTTGTGTAATAGTATGTATAAAGGCTGGCATTTGCTAACCAAGCAGTTTCCATATGTATTAACTATGTCACAGCCACTTAAATTTACCTTCAATGAAGCATGCTTTATTCTAAAATGGACCGTATTCATTAGGTTTTAACAGTTACAACGCTGAAGCAATATTATACACAACACTCAAAAGTAGACTTGCCGAATGCACTCTGCGGCTACATTAATACAAAGTCAACTCAAACATCAATGAGTTAAAGTCTATTTTTGAACGTTGCTACACATCAATACATTTCGTATAGAGTCTATATTGTCAAATGGTTACACACATGCAGTACAATGTTATATGTATTTATAGTATATTGACATAGTCCGAGTAATAAGTCACCATCGGGGTTTTAAGAACCTGTGAAATTAATAATTTAATTTGAAATAAAACCAATACCTAGTGACAGATCCATGCTTTTGCGGGTCTACCAATGGTTTGCAGATTTAAAAGTCCTCAAACAAAAATTAACAGAATAGTTCATACGGTTATTAAGGTATAATAAATGAAAAAAAAAAAAAAAAAAAAAACTCTTAGGTGAGTCACATCTTAAATCTGCAGCCGCAACGGAGTTTTGTGTGACGGGATTTGCGAAGTCTTTATGCGTTGCATTTTCAAATTGAAATCATAATTTGAGTTTGGATTTATTTTGAGATTGGAGCTTTAATCATAGAACACTCATAATTAACATTATGGACTCGGCGCCTTTATCCTTCCATATACTGATATTTTTTTATACATAAAAGATTATTTAAAAACAATTTCCGGACGATACTTTGACTTCGCGTTGTGTAGGCCGAGATTATTTCACATAATCGAGTGTCCCTTTTATGAAATTTCCTCAGACATTTAAAAATTTTCTCCATTTTGTTTATTAAATATGAGCAAAATAAATACACATGGATAATATTTCTATGGATAATTGTAGCAATCAAAGATTCGTAAAATTTATATTACATTCGTAAATGATTATATGAAGGCAGGTATCACACACGCTATGTTAAATTTATTAGTTTTTTAATTTTTTTTTAATGTTTTTAGCTGGTAATCGAATATTGGATCTTTGTTCAAATACACATTAGATGTTTGATGTAAACAAACAACTGCATAAAATCCTAAAGTACTACAAAGATTGCCACATTTATCCAAAGACATTTATTAAAGGAATGATCAGTTATGACTATCAACTGCCCAAATCCACGATTCGATGTAAGAATTTTTAGTAATTAATAAATACCTAGACAATTAAGTAATGACTTAAAATTATTCCTTGTTTTTTCTCCCTTAACAATGCCGCTATAAACATATCATACATGGGTACCAGAAGAGCCGAAGCAATGGAATCATATTTGGTATTAAGTAATAACAATACAATGTACACATACAATAAAAATGTTCATTAGTTACGCGCACCCGAGGGCCTGCCGCGTCGGCCGACCGCCTCGCAACTCCTAATGCTTCGAAACTTCGATCCGTAACATGGAACCGTCGTCCGTTTCAATCAAACGAAACGAGTGAGAATCGGAAACAAAAACAAAAAAAAAAAGCATCGTCGATCTGTTTTATTCCCTCGCATCGAGACGGCGCACTGCGTGGGCGTGGGCCGTCGGCTAGAAGACGAGGATGGGCGCGGCGTCGGCGGGCTGGTGGTGCTGGTGGTGCTGGTGGTGGTGCTGCGGCGGCTCGGGCTGGTGTCACGTGACCTCCATCGGCAGCGGGTCGCCGGCGCGCCGCCGCACCGCGCCGTTGGTGGCGCCCGCCGCGGCCTCGTCCGCCTCGCCGGCGCCCTCCAGCGGCGGCGACGCGCCCAGCGCGGACGGCGCCGCCGCCACGCCGGCGCCGCCCGCCTCCACCATCTCGCTGCGGACGTTATTTCTTTTATTCTTTTTATTCATCTCAAACATCTTTTTCGTTTCCACCTACAATTAAGGTCGTACCCATCACTTTTTTTTCTGTAAACCTAGTATATTTATTCTGTTTCGGTATATACTTTGTTGGTGATAAATAAATAGATGTATATCAACTGCATGAGCTCAGACCTACTGTAGGCGTGGCGACGCTTCGCACGCAAAGCGTCTTCACGGCAACGGTATGCGATAGTATTATAATAGTATGAAACATCTTATACAGTGTGGTGAGTGATTTGACTAAGAAAAAATTATGGAGTTTCTGATTTTTTTACTAAATTAATATAATATAATGTGTTGGTTTATTATGTTTTTCATACATTATGCATGTGATAACCACCCAGATACCAGACGTCCTTAAAATAGGGCAAGATAATACTCACGCAACGGGCGTGGCGCGCGGCTGGGCGATCAGCCTCGCCTGTCTCGCTTTCAGCTGTGCAGTGGAGAAGGCGATCGCCTGCACGTTGCCCGCCAGCCCGCCGGCGCCCGAGATGGCGATCTTCTGCCCGCTCTTCGGCAGCTGCACGTTCTTCTGCAGCAGATTCGCCATCACGGAGCTCGGTATGGAGGTCTTCGAGGGCGCGGCTATCGTTATCGAGGTGGACGGCTCCGAGGCGGTCCTGGCGAGGGGCGCGGCCACCTGCACGGTGCGGTTCTTCAGCTGGATCTGGTGCCGCACGTTGGGCGCGCGCACCGGCAGCGCTGCAGCGCGCACTATCTGCCTCCCGTCCAGGCTCACGCTGACCCGGTGCGGCGGTCGCGTTGCGGTCGCCACGTTGCCCTTCAGTGCGCCGTCGAACACGACCTGGCGTTTCCTAGCGTCGTTTATGTCGAGTCGCGCGACGGTCGTCTTGCCGGGCGCGGGCTGTCGCACGACGTTCACGAGGTGCGGCCCCTTGCCCAGCTGGCCGCTCTTGATCTCGAAGAACTGCGCCACGGAGCCGGGGGCGGCCTTCAGGAGCGGTTTCCCGTCGCCGAGGGCGGCAAGCGAGACCACCGTCGGCAGCTGGGCGAGGGAGCGGTTCTGCAGCAGCTGCGCCCGCTGCGTGTGCGTGAGGGGGTGGGCGTGTAGCACTTTCAGCTTGCTGGAGGGCACGTGGTGCACGTGGGGCGCCACCACCACGGCGGGGGGCGGGTGCAGCTGGAGCGGCTTGTGGCCGAGCGCGGCCGGCCCCAGCTGCACCAGGGGCGTGGCCACGCGCCGCGCGCTCGTGGTGCTCACCACGCTGCCCATAGAGCCCACCGTGCCCACGCTGCCGACCGTTCCCACGCTGACCACGTTGCTCGTCGAGCCCGCACTAACCACGCTCGCCGTTGCTGAAATGGTGGAGGTAGATTTAATAAATATAGATTAAAGGTAGATTAATTTTAAATGGTTGTATTAGGATTTTAACATACAAACATTATTTTCATTGTTTAACTACAACCTCACATACGGCGTGAATTGGAAGATTTATACGTCTGAGGCCCAATTTATTAAAAGGTGGGAACACAAGGTGTACGGTTGATGCAAATGTGCATAGCGGTTGTCGCTTACCAGCGAACCTGCCCGTTTGCCAGATTGTAGCGTTTATTTTTAGGGGCCCAGTAAGAGCTAAAATTCGTCGAATTCTCTTCGTCTGTACGTGTGTTCGTGTGCAATGCTTACCGACGTCCCGCTGCGAGACGGGCAGCGCGAGAGCCGTGAACGGCCCGTTCTGGAGGAGGCCAACCACGGCGCCCGACCCTCCGGCCGCGCCGCCCGCTTGGTTTGCCAGCCGCACCTGCAACATCCAATGAATAGTGTTAAAAATAATATTTTTCATACCGTTACTTGTTTCTACCAGTTCAATCCCTTTCTTGACAAGTAACATACATTCAATGTTAAGGACTAATGTAGGGGATAAATGTAGTGTTGGCTATGGAGCGGGTACGTTCGGAACTAAAATGAGTTCTCTGTGTACATCGTTTAGGTCTACCTTCAGGCTCTCGGAGACTGCGACCGTGACGATCTGGGGCTGGGGGTGCTGCGGCTGCGGCTGCTGTGGCTGCTGCTGTTGCTGCTGCAGCTGCAGCTGGTCCTGCGACGTGACCACCAGGTCGGGGCGCCGGTGCGCCGCCGACGTGATAATGTGCTTCTTGAGGGGCGAGTGCTTCGTCTGCACCGTCTTGAGCTGCACGCCGGGCGCGAGCTGCACCTCCTCGACGGTGTCCTCGCGCCGCCTCCTCTCCGGCTTGGGGGCGGGCGGCTCGTTGACCTCCTCCACGATGATCCTCGAGGTGGGCACCGGCTGCGCGGGCGCCCTGGCCTCGGCGGGCGTCTCGGTGGGCGGCGGCCCCGGGGGCGGGCTGGCCGCGCGCGGCTTGTCGGCGAACATCGGCTCCTTACCGGCCGACACCCGCACCGCGCTCGAGCCGAGCGCCGCGCCCCCCGCCCCCCGCCGCCGTGCGCCAGAGCCGGCACGCCCCACCGCGCCCTGGCCTCGCGATAAAAAAGGATCCTTGTCCGCGCCCCTCGCCAGATCGTCGAGCAGCTCGTCCGCCGTCGCGATCCTCCTGCCGTCCTTGTCCCTCGTCAGCTCGACGTCCTCCGGCGCCCTCAAGTCGGTCTCAAGTATGCTCTCGATGTGCGCCTCCGTGAGGCCCGTGAAGCCCTCGCCTAGTAGATCCTCCCCGCTCGCGTCCAGACTGCTTCCGCTGTTTTCGGCCTCCGCGTTCGTTGGCTCCGCGTAAAGATCGCCCAGTGTGAACTCCGACGTCATGAACGTGTCCAAGCACCCCGCCGAAGGTGGTTCCGCCAACCTCAGCTCCACGGAGAACGGCGTGTCCAAAGAGATCGGGAACTGATCATCGGTTGGTTTAAAATCCTGCGGCGGCGAAGGGGGCGGTGTTTTCGGCCGAAAATGTAACCTAAACAAATAAAATTTATTAGAACAAAATAAATTAAGCTGAATTTACGGTTTGTTTGGTAACGTCTTTAACATATTTTATTTTGTATACAGCGTGTCGTTACGCGACAATAAATGTACACACGTCTAACGCTACTTGCCAATAATCATAAAAAATATTAAAAATATTTTTTTTAAACAAACTAATTAAGTAAAAAAGAAACAAAATTTGTAACATCCTATACAACTACAACTGACTGATTCATACATTCAGAGACTTTTTCATTCGATGCCACAGAGTCGCATTACAAGCCTCTCCTTCTAACAGTATGTTTTGTCTCTTTTGAATTCATTCAACTCATTCATATGCTTTGTGACGTTTACAAATGAACTTTACGTTACAGTTTTATACGTAAGGATGTTCTAAAATTCTTTGTTTTGGAAAATTTAATAACTCGATAAATATTGATGTTGATAAAGAATGTAAATATTTAATACAATTTTAAAAAGTTATCCTCTATATGTGTGTTCTTTTACTGTCGCGATTGTAAAGACATGCTGTATAAACACAATATTTATAATCAAGATTTGTAAGATTCGATTTCACGATTGTTTTTTTTATTTATTTTGCTGATATTTTTCATGCTGAAAATTTTGTATTCACCAAGGAGCCCCGTTGAGTTCAAGTAGAAGTCAATAATAATGAAGTGAGAGCCATAGTGGTAGCACATTCATTTCAATTCACCTCGGAATTAGCAACAGTCAAGATCTATCACTTTAAATAGATCTTATACAGTTAAGCCAAATTGAAGGGAATTAAAAGCTCAGAAAATAGCTAACATGACCTAACTGAACATTAACGACAATATAATGCTAAAGCTTGACCATACCATTTTTTGTTGATTTATTTACATCACTCATAACAGCTACTATAACACATATGCTCAATGCAATAGCGTTAGTAAAAGATACATAATCATACCGTGTGTGTATACTACAACCCATGTCATATATATAATAAAATCATATAATTGAATTCACTTAAACTTGTAAATCGATTCTAATAGGAACACAACTGAGGGGATACTGAATTGGATAATCATTTATGATAAAAAGTGGGTCCTGTAGGAAGGTCGAAGGTGAAGGTCGGTGGAACAGACTTTTAAACCGTGTATCTAGTGCAAATTGTATCATAAGAAGCCACCAGGGAGTGTATGGTGGACCTGTACAGCATCGTCAAGCAAGCAAAATACAGATTCTTAACACCGGACACTTGTAGGTGTATGTTAAGCGTCAATCTATTAAAATGACCGTTCCTAAAATTTCGGCAGCGGCGACAGACAACTTTATTCGAATATATGTAATAAGCTAAACCTACACATGTATTAAATAAAAATAAAATTGCAACTTGAATAAATTGATTCACTCACCATTTCTTGTTGACCTCGTCTATGAACTGCTCAAACTCCCTCTCGACCGGCTGAAGGCTCTCGTCCGAGTCGTAGCTGCTGTCGCTGCAGCCGCTCCACGACCTCTTCCTCATCACGCGCGCCAAATTCTCCCTAACCGCACTGTCAATAGTTCTCGCACTAACACTAATATCACTTTTGACGTCTTGAGGTAACGTGGCGCCCGGTGGCGGGGAGCCGTCGACGTCCATCGGCTCCTCTTTGATATCCGCGACAGGCTTGGCGTCCGCGGCGGACTTGGCGTCCGCGACGGACTTGGCGTCCGCGTCGGACTTGGCGTCAACAATGGACTTGGCGTCCACAATGGATTTGGCGTCCGCATCGGGCTTGACGTCGACGGTCCACAGGCCCGGGTTGCGAGCGAGGTGGCGGCGGAACGCGTGCCGCCACGGGTACTTGCCGCCCGTGTGGTAGTCGCGCGTCATCTCCTTCGGGCTGCGGTGCGCTTTCGTTTCCAACTCCACCTGGAAATTGGGCACGAAAACATTTTTTTAATCGCACGCTTTGTCGGAAGGCAGTGTTTGAGTTGTGGGATAAACTGCTTGCCATCTTTGGGAGGAGAAAGAGAAACTACTCGCTAGTTCGGTCCATAGTCGCTAGTCCATACGGCGACAGATGAAAATCATTCTCAAAGTGGAAATTGATATTTCACATATCCTGGGGAGGTCACGGTGACACTGCTTAAATACTCAAGTTCTTCCCCGAGGTACGACGTCAGGCGTGAGGATCCAGAACAGTGCGTTCCGTTGGAGACCTCGTAGCCCCTCCGAAAAACTGAAAGTGGCCACTGAGGGGGTTTCAGTTGGCACTAACTCATTCAAATCATATTTGGTATGTCTTAGATTTCCCCCTACACAAAAATAAACAAAAACGGACGGACGTTCTGATCGTGTGACTTCCTAATCGCCATACATCACCAACAGCCTTCCTTAGTTCAAATTTGTGGGGGATCGCTTGACACGTGAGAGAGAGAGAGAGAGAGAGAGCAAGAGGTGGCGCACCTCCTCGTCGCGCAGCGCGCGCTGCTCCGCGGAGGCTGGGAAGGCGAAGGGCAGCCGCGGCCAGAGGTCGTCGAGGGGCGTCGCCACGCGGTCCAGCAGCACGCGCCCGCCGCGGCCCACGCGCCGCCGCGCGAACCCCACGCACCGCGCGTACGGGTGCCGCAGCGACGTCAGCGTGAACCTAAGCACCGGAGGTACAGTCGCGAACGTAATCTAAGGTACAGTCGTGTCGATGTAAGCAAACGATGGAATGAAAAAGGTGCAGTCGCGTCGGTGTTTGCAATCAACGTAATCGAAGGTACATTCATGTTGATATTAGGAATAAACTTAATCGTAGGTGCAGTTGCGTTGATGTTGGCGACGAACATAATCTAAGGTACAGTCGTGTCGATATTAGCAAACAATGGAATCAAAGGTGCAGTCGTGTTGGTGTTTGAAGTCAACGTAATCGAAGGTACAGTCATGTTGATATTTGGAAATAAACTTAATCGAAGGTGCAGTCGTGTTGATGTTGCCGAAGAACATAATCTAAGTTACAGTTGTGTTGATGCTAGCAAACTGCAGTAACTTTGGTGTTTGCAATCAACTTAATCCAAGGGTCAGTCATGTTGATATTTGGAATAAACTTAATCGAAGGTACAGTCGCGTTGATTTTGGCGAAGAACATAATCTAGAGGTACAGTCGTGTTGATGTTAGCAAACAAATAATGGAATCAAAGGTGCAGTCACTCTGGTGTTTGCAATCAACGTAATCGAAGGTACAGTTATGTTGATATTTGGAATAATCTTAATCGAAGGTGCAGTCTTGTTGGTGTTTGCAAAGAACGGAATCGAAGATAAAGGATCGGAATTTGGCCTATTTATGTTCGAGGAGTCGGCCAATTTATTTTCCTCGTGCATATTTTGGCAAAATTGAAACGACATGACATAAATAAAAAGATGTCATATAAAGAACATCTACAAAAATCAATCTTGTTATTGAGATCAGGATGTAAATGTAAATAAGTTCTTCATTTTTTCGCGTTGATTTTGGCGAAGAACATAATCTAGAGGTACAGTCGTGTTGATGTTAGCAAACAAATAATGGAATCAAAGGTGCAGTCACTCTGGTGTTTGCAATCAACGTAATCGAAGGTACAGTTATGTTGATATTTGGAATAATCTTAATCGAAGGTGCAGTCTTGTTGGTGTTTGCAAAGAACGGAATCGAAGATAAAGGATCGGAATTTGGCCTATTTATGTTCGAGGAGTCGGCCAATTTATTTCCTCGTGCATATTTTGGCAAAATTGAAACGACATGACATAAATAAAAAAGATGTCATATAAAGAACATCTACAAAAATCAATCTTGTTATTGAGATCAGGATGTAAATGTAAATAAGTTATTCATTTTTTCCCCATGAAGATTAATACATTGTTTATTCTAGTTGTTCCGCCGCTTACCTATTCCTCTCGTCCAGCTCATGTTCGAAGAGGCCTTCCTTTGACGGACTTCCAGGTTCCACAGGGTCGCCGCACAGCGTAGATGTAGGCTGTAATCAAAATTAATATTTATATTGCATTTTTAAATTTTCATTTAGGTTAGGTTAGGTTAAGTTTTTCTCTTGTTATCGGATACGGGATACGCGATAGGTCAAAATTAGAATATTAGCTAAATATTAACAAAATGAGGTATAATCGAATCTTAAACGTAGCAAACGGCCGCAACCGCATAATGCAGAAGTTTCAAAAGCGTCCGTGCCCAGAGGAACTCATCGTTATTCAAGACAAAGTCAGCCAAAAAAAATCGAACGAAGTCTATCCATTAAGAGAATCAAAGGACCATTCCAGCTTTACGCACCAAAGCAACAGAACATGACCTTCAGAAGATGAGAGCGCGAAAAGAGAAGAAGATAAAATGTATATACATAAATATAATCGTCCGTCTCACCATCTCGTAGTAGCAGCCGGGCTTGCGACGGAACGCGAACGGCCCGTCGTCGACCGCGTCGGCGCGCGTCGCCGCCGGGCAAGTGGCGGCAGCGGCCGACTCCTCCTCCGACGAGGTGCACACGCCCGAGTCTGGAAAGCGTCATCCCGGTTACGGTGACGTGTCACTTGTCGACCGGCTGTCCGCTGCTACGGCCGGTAGGGCCGATGTGCGGTAGAAGTGACGATGGTACTTTTCATGTGAGAAGGTGGCAAACGAGCTGGCGGTTCACCTGATGTGAAGTGATAATCGCCGCCCATGGACATTTGCACACGAGTTGCAGATGCGTTGCCACCAATAGTCTCCCCCTGGGTTGGCCGGAAGGACCGATGTGCGGTAGTAGAGACAATAGTCCCCCTGGTTTGGCCGGAAGGATCGATATTCGGTAGTATAGACAATAGTCTCCCTGGTTTGGCCGAAAGGACGGAATTGCAGTAGTAGAGACTATGGTCTCTTTGGTCTGGCCGGAACAACCGATTTGCTGTAGTAGAGACAATAGCCCCTCTGGTCCAGCCGGAAGGACCGAGGTGCTAGAGTAGACACAATAATTCACCTGGTCCGGCTTGTAGGACCGATGTGCGGCATTAGGGACCACTACATCGTGCTACCACTATCACGCTCTCTATTCAAACGGGGATGATATAGGTCGCTATGTGATAAGATCACCACAGCGAGCATGTGGCAAACTAGCATCTGGTTAATCTGATGACTGATTAAGTTGGTAATACCCGTGGGGTTGCAGTTCCGCGGCCAACAGTTAAGGGAACCCCGATTACCTCACTCACCGCTAAAATAGCCATTGAGAATAGCAATTGGCGGCAGCACCCGAGTGCCAAAGTAAACATCCGGCTCGAAGGACCAATACGTGTTATGTAACGGTTATGCTTAATTATTCGGTTATAAATAATCGACAAGTTGTTACATTCGTTCTAAAGGATATAAATACAATGCATACACTCAAGTCATTCGTTTCTAGTGTGAATCCTATGAATATAACAAGATGTTGTGAATATAACAGAGACGAAGTTACTCCAAATCAGAGGCGGCAAGTCATTTAAGAGTCTGTACTAAACATGTTCAAACGCTGAAACAGTTTCTTGTTTTCTATCCATGCAGTTACTTTTATTAGATGGAAACTTAATTGCTAGTATTCAATCAAAGTAACATTATATAAATTAACAATCCATAGTTAACTATTTGTTATTTCAACATCCCCGAAGTATGATACCACGCTTCCATTTAGGTAAACAACCATAAGATTTGGAACGGTGAGCACACTAAACTAAAGCTAGGCCATAGCCCGTAAGTGGACGCATAGTATATATTATTTGTCTGTCGCTTTGACTGCGTGTGTGCACTCACCTCGCAGCCCCTGCACGGAGCCGGCGGCGTGGTGCCTGTGTTTCCGTCTCTTGTACGGACGCTTCTCTCGCTGTAAGGCAACCAATCACGGGCATAATACCACACTCACACTATCACAAGCATTTGGGGTTCCTACCGATTTGCATTATGTTGTACACAACAGCAGTAAACTTGACGATTGAAAGATGAGGGAAGTTCGTTGTGCATCCTTATGATGGTAACGAAAAAATCGAAATTAATATGTCCCAACCACGCCTGGTTTCGTGGCAATATCCTAACCAGTGTCCAGCACTGATGTGTAAACATTTTCATTTCTTTTAAACGCAGTTTGTGTGTTATCAAAAAGTCGAATTTCGACTTACAAAAAAATAGAGTGCTTTGTTTAAGACATATTATTATTGTTACCATTATTGTTACCAGTGGATAAATATCAAAAAATAGTTCCAAAACTCTCGCCACAAACTGATATTTTTAGTATTTATCTGTATATATTGAAATAACTTATAAAGAACTGTGTAGGTAAAAGACGTATATCTAATATAAGATTAAAAAATCCCCACAGAAAAAAAGTATTGTGCTGTATCACTGAAGTTTCTTTTAGCATTCCATTTCAGTCTTAGAAACGGCAAGAAACGAGAAACTCAATTGCATTAATTGATACATTGTCGAATACTCAATTGGTCAATTGTGTAGCCATGTTCGTGTGATATTTTATTCTATATTTCTGGGTGTACCTGTCTAGGCTGATCGACGGGCGTGGGCGGAGCTCTGGGCGGATAGTGTTGTACCGCGTACGACTCGCGGCGAAAGCTCAATGTCGATATCGGCACTGTGCTGTATTGCCTGTCGACAATGAAATTGTTACAGATTATCTGCCTTCTATACCAGACCATTGGATGCCCAAGAGGTCTCTAAAAAGTTAAAAGTGATTTAATTTCTCCTATACTCAACAGATTGTGCGGACAAAGATCTGAACATGGGGCCACTAAGAACTTTTATCCATGAAACTTAAAAAAAATGTACGCCCTATTAAAAAAAGAAAACAACGGAAAGCTCAGATGCGAGTCGCTGGAATAATGGGTCATCACTAACAACTTTTAAAAGAGGATAAGATAAAGACGAGGCCAAAATAACGTTCATAAAGGCGTTTTCAACAGAAACAATGATTGAGAGAGAGGAAAATAAGAAAAGTCGAGGAATACATATAAAACTTATAAAACAGTAAGCATAAGCGCACTCAAGTTCGGCAAATAAAACCCACTCTTCAGAGTTCCCCGATGGAAGTAAGAAGTTGCATCGCTTTTATAACACAATGGTTTTCCAACTTCATAATGACTTCTCGTTTTATAAGATTTCAACAAAATCACCCGAGACTTGCTACCTCAAAACGGATTTAGGTTGTTTCTTAATCAGTGCTATAGAGGGAGTCGAGTAATATCTATAAGGCGCTCTAAAAAAGAGCTATTTTATATTAAAATTTATATTAGAACTTTTGTTTACGTGCTACTTTTTTTAGAGAGCAACATAATGATGCGGGCCTTAATGATGTGGTGGTCTTAATGAAGATTTAATATAGTGTGTAGTGGCGTATTGATAATTTAAAATTTGAAATATGCAGGCGATGGTTTGGTTTCGATTCTACATTTTCTTACTATTATTTATACATTTTGTGTTTTAAGCAGGAGATAGGAAGAAATAGAAACACGAGTTTAAGTCGCCTGGCCTTAGCGGCCTGTAATTTGTCGTGGTTAGAACCTATGGTGTGAGTTCGAAAAAGAAAACGATACGATCGCACCGAGACGTAGAATCCTTATAGAATAAGTGACCGAGACGCGGCCTAAGAGATCGATATATTTTTTTAACATAAATTTTAATATCTATTACGTTATGCAATATTGTGTAGGCCTTTCGAAGCTATCAGAAGGACCGTGGAGGTGGTAGAGTGATGCCGATTGAAGTGAGGTACGGTAGTAGAAGTTGTGGTGTAAATAATGTTGGAAGTGATGGTGGAAATGGTATTGAACACGGTAGTTGAAGTGTTGTGCGATAGTTTTGGTGGTTGAAACTTGTTGTGGACGCGGTGGTACAAAAGTAGTGGTTGCTTCTCACCTGGCTGGCTCCGGCGGCAGCTGGGCGGAGAAGTCGCCTGCCGAGTACCGGCGCTCGGCGAGCAGCGCGGTGAGCCGGAGCAGCTCGCGCTTCGCCCTCTCCCGCCTGGCTACCAGCTCGAGCAAAGTGAGGGCGCGCGCCAGCTCTCGCCGCAGCTTGAGCATCTTCTCGTACGAGCTCTCGTCGTTCTTCCTGCGGATAGATATAAAGGGACGGTTGAAGCTTACGCTAGCTTAGCTTGAAGACCCACCGTGATTGTAGCCAAGCGGTAATCTCGTTGCCAAGTGAAGATAAACCATTCGGGGTTATTAATTATCAAATTATAATTGTTTTATTATAATAAAGCAAGTTTCAAATATATATAAGAGATTTCCACCGATAACTGACTCATCACGATATCTCTGGAACCTTAAGGCTTAGAGACTTGAAATTTGGTAGGAATATTCCTTTCGCCGAGTAGAGGTCAGCTAAGAACGGATTTTACGAAATTTTACAAAACAACGTTTGCCGGATCAGCTAGTAGTTTTATAAAGCTTATTGTGTCCTTGGATGATAAGGGTTATAAATGGATTTTTGCTATTTCCTTTTCTGTATATGTAAATAATAAAAAAAAAAGTTCAATATTTAGATACGATTTATTCACAACCGCTTTTACTAAAGTAGTGATGGTAAAAAGAAGGAATCAAACCACAACTCACCTATTCTTCCTGGTCTGCATTTTCTCTGTTCTTCTCCGGAAAGCCAGGTATGGGTTGTTCGACGACTGGCCCGGCCTATGCTCCGTCTTCACAGATAAGACTAGCGGATGTTGCTGCAAGAGAGATGTCGAATAATTAACTTAATGACAATAGAAAACACGTGGCGAAGTGAATGATGATGGATAAACTTACAAGGCAAAACCAAGTTATACACAGATATTATTATCCCTAACAAAAATTTATTGTATATACTAGTCCTTCTGGACATATTGAATTATAGCGCGCGCTTTTATACGAAATGCGTATTTATCTCCTGAATGAAAAGGGATACTTCATTTCATTTAATGTTTGACAGGTACAAGTTGTTGAAGTGTTCAAGCCAAAAGGGCAGTAACTTTTGAATGCCTTCTCCAATTGGATAATTTGCTGATAAATTACAGACAGGCACAGTTCTATCAGAGACAGCGTTATAGTAAATCCATGTATCAGTTGAATAAAAAAACACGAAAATGCTTCATCCATGAAATACGAATATCGCAACTATCACGGGTTTTGCAATTTAAGTCTAAATTGAAAAACCCGAGTTAGTTGCGATTACTAATATACTCCACACCACTGGTGCGTTCGCTGAACGCTTCTTAAACGTAGCAACAACGGAGAACCAAGACTCGAGATGAGAGTACATGCCCAGCAGTGGAACGTGGACCGTGGGCCGGGAGACATTGTAATGATGACGATGACGATGACGACGATATGGTGGTTACGGCGGGTATCGACGCACGCGAACATACTGAGATCGCGACGGATCGAGCAGTGTGATGGCCCACCGTGTTGAGCCGCTTGTTGAGCCAGTAGTCGTAGACGGCGATGACGAGGTCGTCGTGCCTCTCCAGCAGCAGCTTCGCCTCGTTCAGCGTCACCACCGTCTGACCGGAGCAGCGCTCCAGCTTGTCCATCATCTGCTCGAACTTGAGCTCTGCACAACCAACCGGTATTGCGCATTGAGGCTAGCGGACGGTTGACTGAGGAGGCTGCAAGCAGCCCTATAGCCCGATTTATATTGGTCAAGTTTTTGGTGAAGCTGATAAGTACAGTGGTAAAAACCATCGGACAGTAGCGTGTTAACTGGATCCAAATAGAATCGCTTTCTATTTTTTGGTGCAAGTGCACCACTCGCTCACCACTTGCCGTACTGTAAACACTCAAATTAGCACAGGCAACAAAATTAGCACATGCAACAAAATTGCACGTATTTTTTGATGTTGCTCGTCCATATTGACACGGAAATGCCAGTGGACTTCCTGTATTTTAAACAGCCTTTTCTTCGGTGCTCGACGCTGGTCACTGTACTTGTAACCGCTACGCTCCACTGTCCTTGACCAATGTAAATCGGACTTAAGCGACTACTCCAGCTCTGTGACGGCGAAAGTAAGTTTCAATATCTCACATACGGATAGTTTCGGGATATAATATACCGTTATATCCCGAAACAATTATATCCGTGTGACCGTTTAACTTTCGCATGCTCAGTACTACGTCAGCTCCTTCACTTCTACTTTGATTCAAGAAGGAATAAAGTGAATATATCTTCAGAGCTTCATACAATATTAGAACCAAGTTCGCTTTAGAAACATCAGGTTAGGCCCGTCTTTAGTAATCTCACTTTTTACTGACTAAAAATATATCACTGATTATAAAATTTGACCCGGACAAGCACAAGGGAACGAGTGAATCGATTACTATCAAACTCCTTTATCTTGAGGATTCGAAATGAAACATTATTTATAATAAAATATCTATAAACAACTTTATATCAAAGAAGCCGATTAAATCATTTATTCTTCATGTATCGAAAAAAAATTACATGTGGTATGTGGTTGCGAAAATTGTACACCACATATAGATATGTACCGGAGTGGAGAGTGATGACTGAATTGTTAGGCCGTAGATTTTCTACATGGCCGCGCCTCTCACCTCAATAGCGATGTATACCTGTGAGCTCGGGGTGCCTCTGCTGCTTTAGCCACCTCTCGTCCTCCGAGTCGATGTCATACTCCGGCGCCTCCTGCTCCTCCCAAAGCACTGCAACAACGTAAAAAGTTTTATCACACTGAGAACTGATACATAATTTAAAACAGATTACCGTTTACCGTCAAGTTTAATAAAGAATTTAATGAATGAATTTTAATCTCATACACACGACTAAATAATCTTTAACAGTGAATATATGCGAAACACTACATAGTATAAAACAAAGTCGTCCCGCTGTCTGTCTGTCCCTATGTATGTGTCTATCTTTAAAACTTAGCAACAGATTTTGATGCGGTTTTGTTTACTAGATAGAGTGATTCCAGAGGAGGTTTATATGTATAATACATTGCACTCGTGCGAAGCCGGGGTGGGCCACTAGTATTCAATAAAAATCAATCAAAATCATAGGCGACTCGTTGTCGATGACGAAAATCGGTCAAACCCTCCGGCACTTAGCCGCACGCAAATGCGTTGCTATTTAAACGGTTTTGAAATGTAGAGACCTGTAGAGACAAGCATTTTCGTGGGAACGAATAGTTTTTAAAGTCGATAGACCTTAAAATGAAACGTCGCGAAAAGAAACCAACAACAGAGATCTCAGATTTAGGGATCGCAACCCGCCGTCATTTTCAGCCCGGGCGGATCCGACCGAATTCTCATCGATCCGGTTGCAGGATCTGGTAAACGTTTAATTTTTACTTTTTCCGGATTGCTATCCCTAATGAGGTACGAGTGGATAGATTGCAGTTGCTACAAGTTATTCAAACCAAATAAACTTCTAAAACTGCATCAAGCACTCTTCACGATAAAAAAATATCTGCTCTTGCGTATATACAAGGGTAATAATAATAGTAATAAGGGTATATAGGGGTAAGTAGGCGGCATTACACTTGTTTATTATTAACAAACGATTGTTTGGGCCAGTCGAAGTCATATTCAGTCTAAATATGACTTGAATATGACTCACATTGGGAAAAAACTTCTATAGGAGGCGTCTTCGATCTTATGACATTCAATGTCGATCCATAGCAGTTTTAATATGAGCTTGAAAGGCAAAATATTCTCTATCTGTTGCCAGAACTCAGTTATACGTAAATGTTTATTAATTTTTTTTATGTGAGAAGGTGGGAACCGAACTCGCCGAAGGTTCACCTGATGTTGAATGATAACTGCTGCCCACTGACATTTGCAACACCCGCAGGATTGCAGATGCGTTGCCCTTCTAATAAAGTGGGCCCTGGCTACCTCACTCCCCAAACGAAACGCCGAAGTACAAACCTCCACTTCACGCCGGTCTTCTATGAGGTCGTGGTACTTAGCCGGACGGACCTGCCCATTTGTGCAACAGCGAAGACTGTTACAATAATAGGGGTGGTAGGGCCACCCTACCACCCCTATTATTGTAGATCCTATTAAGATTTTGCTACAGGTTTAGACTAACAATTCTATCCATATTTTATTGGAAATAATTACGAGATATAAAGTAAGTGATTTAATGTAGATAGATAAAAGTAAGTAATTAAATGTAGAGATATAAAGTAGTGATTTAATGTGAAGTTCTTCACAATCGGATAACTGGATGGTTAGCATCGCTCTCAGCATTCGTAATTTTGAAGTGTTGAATATCTTGTTGTTTTGAAGTGTTTGCCTCATCTTTTACAATATTGCAGTACTTTTTTTCGGTTTAGTGTGACATAATTTCTGTTAAGATCACTTTAATTATCTTACCCAGTGAATATACTTTTAAAACCTATGTATATTAGTATATATATAGTTAATTTAACCAACGTACTGAAAGAAATACATTAACCGATAAAAGATACAGATTACGATAAGATACGTAAAACTACATTTTTCGACAATTTTATTCGCTGACTTCGAGTAACTTACTTACCGTATCATAGTAACGAACTTGATAAATTTCGTAAATTTTCGTAAAGTTTGAGGAGTTTCTGTTTATAATAAATACATTATTTTCTCAGTCACATTCCGTACGTTCTGTTTTATGAATTTATATGAAATTCTTTTATATAATAAAACTTTGAATCGATACCTTTTTCTTTAAAATCTTTTCTACAAAAGAAGTAGCCATTAATATTGTTTATATTTTTTTATTTCGTAACAAAATAAGTCGATACCTACATCGAATTTAACCTACGTAAGATTAATGTTAAAACGAGTGCCTATTAAAACGCGAGTGTGGATGTAAAATTTAATGGCTTATTTTAGGCTTAGTGCTGCGTATTAAATTTTATACATGAAGGGCAATTGTATCTCGGTTTTTCATCTTAACAATATGACAAGCAGATTGTTTGTAATAATATAGATATCAACATAAGAAAATAAATTGTAGAAAAGTTTTATTTATATATTAATTTCCCCAGAACTAGCGTAAAAACACAATAAGGTTCGTTTATGGTTATTTATAGTCTTTTTAATGGTGCAGTGCAACCAAAATCACACATTACATTTCTACTTACACATTACATTAACTATGTTACAGACAGGAAAAACGTTTTAATAAACCCAATGAAATTCCTAAATACATAACAACACCCGATACGAATGCTTTAACCCGTAACATATAATCTTACATGATCGTAGTTTCACGTAATACCATACGAATTGTGAGTAGGGTGAGCAAGCTTAAAGTTCCCTTGGAGGGCTCATCGACTACCCTTGTCATATATAATTACAATCGATCGGCCCAAGATCTATTGATAGCAAAACAATCATAATTGGGGAAAGTCGAAAGCTTGATTACGATTTTAAAAGTTTGTTGAGGCTAACTCCTAACACCGGTATTAGGATTATGAATATATAAATGATAATAGAATTTATTCGGACTCTTTATTACAAAATTGATATAGTTAAAATGATATACTTTGATAATATGATATAACTTATTTAATTAGCATCATCTATTTGAAAGCAGAAATATAATAGCAATTTAGTGTAAACCATAAAAGTTAATAATAATTAAAAATTAATTAGATAGCTCTGTCGGGTTTAACGAACATTTCTTATAAACATTTTCCCCGAGTATTTCTAAATCTAAGCACAAAAGAAACTTATCAAATAAGAGGAGGTTCGGTTTTCGTAAAAGCTTTCCGTATCAGCTCTTTTCATAAATAAAAAGGAGAGTAAAGTGTCTGTGTTTCAGATCCTTCCATAAAACAATTGTACAAATCATTTTAACTATTGTCAAATAAAAAAGTTTTTTGCACGAAACCCTACGAAATCAATCGTCAAAGAATTGTAATGTATGAGTTCATTAATATTGCTAACCTCGGCAGAGGATATGTCTTCGACACACGGCTTATATCAAATTTTAAAAATACAAACGTATAATTAAGTCGTATATTCCTATCGAAAAAAAAAAAACCTGATAATGCTAGATAAAAAACATTATACACATATATATTATGAAAGCTGTTGTAATTATAGTATATGTTACGTCTCGTAAATGAGGTAGCTGGAGGGTACAATCGTTAAGGCCCATTTACACGGTGCCAGTTTCTTGCCTGTTGTATACAATTAAATTGAAGCAATAAATAAGTTGCACGGTCTAAACAACAAATGGTCTAACCAATTATTGCACGCAATTTATTGCATTCAATTATTGCTCTTGCATGTACAAGAAAATGGCATCGTGTAAATGGGCCTTTAATGTACTTACCAGCGAGTGAACCGAAAATAATAAATATAACGAAAAATAATTAAACGTAAAAGAAGACAACAAAGATCGTAGACATTACAAAAAATGAAGAAGTTCTTCAATCAAGTATTGACAATCAAAGCTTCTTAATCAATCGCATATTGGTATCGCGTAGATGTGGCGAAGGGAGTGCCTTGCAAAAATATTTTAAGATGCCATACCCACCTCATAACACCCACGTCAAATTCACATGGATGACGACATCATTTGGCGTTTTTGCGAGTGTTCGATGCCATAAATTGTATTAAAAAATTTTAAGGATAAAATCGAAGTTTATCTAAAGCTATAACCATGTTTCCTTTTACGTATGTCGGAAAAGCACACGTAAGCCACTATGATCAATGTTTTACATTTTTTATAATACCTCTTGAAAGAGCCGAATAATCACTACATAGTCGTAGTACAAAACAAAGCCGTTCTGCTGTCTGTCTGGCCCTTTGAATGCTTAGATCTTTAAAACTACGCAACGGGTCTTGATGCGGTTTTTTTTACTAGATAGTGATTCAAGAGGAAGGTATAATACATTACACCCTTGAGAAGCCGGGGCGAATCGCTAGTATACTTTATATTTTATTTCCTTTTAGTATGTTACTTTTTATTTGTTTTTGTTTTTAGTGATGTTATTTTCATTGAACAGTGCTGTTATACGCCACATGCATTAGAATATCCTTTCTTTTGTAATTTAAATGTAACACTAGGGAAAATGAAAAATAACTTCTAAAAAATTGTTGACGACTGGATTTGTAGCACGCACTATCAAATGTTTCGTTTCTATTAATTATAATGAATGTTGAATTAAGTACAGTGAAATTAAGTGGTCTGTGTGATTTATTAACACAATATTGCAATAATAAACAATAACAACTATAATGAACTGTAATGGAAGAATTGTACACGAATAATATAGTAAAAGCGAACAGCCACATCCTATGTTTTTCCTTTTGCGTGGAAACCCGAATTGTTGCGCAGAGGATGAAATATTGTTTCTGGCCAGAGTCTTGAAGCGGCACGATCCAAAATAGCCGAGAACGCGACGTGGCAGCGATACGTCCTTTCGCCACGACGTCCACAGTCCGTCTGAAAGGTCGGTCGGTCGGTCGGTCGTGCAGTCGCGCGTAATGGAGTAACCAGACGCGTACGTAGACGACGACGGACCGCACACGTCGCGGTAAATACGGACACGGCGGCTTGTGACGCCGCTCGTGAAAAATGTTTAGTATAGTCATTATCGACTGATATTCCATTGGAAGAGCAAATTCACGATGTCCCTTTTATCGTTTACCGTGCGCCGGTGAGAAATGGTGTAATTTGCTCGGCGTTGTGACGAAAGGGC